CATTGTTTTCTTTGGTTATCGTCTTAGCCCAGCACAGATGGCCAGTCCATCCCGTGCTACGACGCTCCAAGAGCCTTGAACTGTTACAACTTGCAACTCCCTCCGTGGGAGAAAGGCCAGTTCCCGGGAAAAGGCCAGTTCCCACCACACAGAAAGCAGCTTTTATATTTCTTTTTGTGCTGGTGGCTGTAGGTCAGTGGAGCGGCCAGACATGGCTGTACTCATGTCAAGACAAGGGTACACAGTAAAATACTTGTTGCCCTCAGTTTCTTAGTTTGACTCCCCAGAAGCAACCGTATGGTAAGTTTTGTATATATCCTTTCAGAGATATTCTTCATATGTACCAATACTTTTTTATCAATGAGATACATATTTTAATAGAATCAAAACAGAAAATTTTGCAGCCTGTGTTTCCACCACTGGTTCTATATCATAGGCAGATTTCTGTGTCAGCAAATAGAGATCTACTGCATCTTTTTTGTTTTTGTATTTGTAATAAACTTTTTATTGAAAAGGACACAAGTCTGCATTCATAGCTAGATGAAATATCATGAAGTGTACACTCTGGTCACCAGCACCCAGGTCTAGAAATTATCTTTTTGTTTCCTTCCTTTCCAAACTTTATACCTTTTGTTTCTTTTTCTTGTCTTACACTGGCTAGGACCGTTAGTACAGTGCTGACTAGAAGTAGAGACAGCAGGCATCCTTGTCTTGTTCTCAGTTTAGAGAGAAAGCTTTGAATATTTCACCATTAAATAAAATGTTTGCTGTCAATTTTTGTAGAAACTCTTTGTCAGACCAATGAAGTTCCTTCTATTCCTAGTTTACTAGGACTTTTTATCATGAATGGGTTTTAAATTGTGTCAAGTATCTTTTCCACATCCACTGAGATGATTATGTTATTTTTCTCCTTTACTTTGTTAATACGGTGAAGTGTAGTGACTAGGTTTTGAATGTAAACTCAACCTTGCATTCCTGGAATAAACTCAGCTTTGTCAAGAGATACCCCAACTTCCTCTCCAAAATGGCTATATTTACTTATATTATCAGCAATTTATGAGAATATATGTTTCCTAACATCCCAGCCAACGCTTGATGTTTTAAGACTTTAAAAATTTACCCAGTAGGTGAAGAAAAAGGTGTCTCATTTTTGTTTTCATTCGAAGTTTCCAGATACTGGTGAGGTTGAGCATCTTTTCATGTACGGTCAGGCATCACCTAATGACATTTTTGTCAGTGACAGACTGCATATACGACAGTGGTCCCACAAGATCATAATGGAGCTGAAAAAGTCCTATCACCTAGTGATGTCATAGCCATCATAACATCGTAGCGCAATGCATTACTCACGTGTTTCTGGTGGTGCTGGTGTAAACAAACCTACTGCTTCATCCCAGTATCAAAGCGGCATTTCTCCCTCCAAACACCACTTCTTTGATCCAACCAATGGACCAAGGACTTACAGCAGCTTTTAAGGTCTACTACCTGAGGAGGACCTTTGCCCAGGCTATTGCTGCAACTGAGGAAGATGCTGATGCAAGTCTGGAAGGATTACAACATCTGTGACTGATCAAGGACCTTGCCCGGGCTCAGGATGATGTCACCAAGGAGTGTATGAATGGCCTCTGGAAGAAGACACGGAAGAGGTTTGTCCATGACTTCAAAGGATTTGCCGAGGGTGAGGAGGTTGCAAAAATCAGCAAAGCTGTGGTTGAGACGGCAAACAACTTGAACCTGGGTGTGGGTGAGAATGACATTTAGGAGCTCCTAGATGTGCTTCATGGGGAATTGACTAATGGGGAGTTGTTGGAACTGGAACAGGAATGCATAGCTGGAGAAGAGGCAGGAGAAAAGGAAACTGCAGGAGAAGAAAAAGAAGACGAACCCCCAAGAAAATTCGCAGTGAGTGGTTTAGCAGAAGCTTTGCAGACCTCAACAAGCTCCTTAAAATGTTTGAAAACAGGGGCCCTAACACCGAAAGGTTTTCGTTAATAGAGAGAAACGGTTATGATATGTTATCTGCTTACAGGCAAATCTGTGATGAAAAAAGAAACAAACCAAGCAAACCACCATGGGCATATTTCTGAAAGAGTGACACTTCCTCAAGAAGAGCCTCAGGCAGGTCCTTCAGGAGGTATTCCAGAAGAAGGCACTGTTATCATTGGAGACGACAGCTCCGGGTGTGTTATTGCCCCTGAAGACCTTGCAGTGGGGCAGGATGTGGAGGTGGAAGACAGGGATAGCGATGATCCTGACCCTGTGTAGGCCTAGGCTAATGTGTGTGTTTGTGTCTTAGTTTTTAACAAAAAAGTTGAAAAAGTAGAAAGAATTTAAAATTTTAAAAATAGAAAAAAGCTTATAGAATAAGCATATAAAGAAAGAAATTACTTTTGTAGAGCTGTAGAATGTGTTTGTGTTTTAAGCTAGGTGTTAATACCAAAGAGTCAAAGTTTAAAAAATAAAAAGTATATAAAGTAAAAAGGTTATAGTAAGCTAAGATTAATTTATTATTATTATTGTTTGTTTTTTTACATTTTATTTATTTTTATTTTTTTATTTTTTTGTGAGGAAGATCACCCCTGAGCTAATATCCACGCTAAGCCTCCTCTTTTTGCTGAGGAAGACCAACTCTGAGCTAACATCTATTGCCAATCCTCCCTTTTTTTCCCCAAAGCCCCAGCAGATAGTTGTATGTCATAGTTGCACATCCTTCTAGTTGCTGTATGTGGGACGCGGCCTCAGCATGGCCGGAGAAGCGGTGCCTCCGTGTGCGCCCGGGATCCAAACCCGGGCTGCCAGTGGTGGAGCGCGCGCACTTAACTGCTAAGCCACGGGGCCGGCCCCTAGATTAATTTATTATTGAAGAAAGAAGAATATTGTTTTATAAATTTAGTGTAGCCTAAATGTAGAGTGTTTATAAAGTCTACAGTAATGTACAGTAATGTCCTAGGCCTTCACATTCACTCACTGCTCACTCACCGACTCACCCAGAGCAACTTCTGTTCCTGGAAGGTCCATTCATGGTAAGTGCCCTATACAGGTGTACCATGTTTTATCCTTTATACTGTATTTTTACTGTACCTTTTGTATATTTAGATATGTCTAGATATACAAATACCATTGTGTTACAGTTGCCTACAGTATTCAGTACAGTAACATGCTGTACAGGTTTGTAGCCTAGGAGCAATAGGCTGTACCATCTAGGTTGGTAAGTACACTCTATGATGTTCACACGACGACGAAATCACCTAAGGACGCATTTCTCAGAATGCATCCCCATCGTTAAGTGATGCATGACTGTACTTAATGGCCATTTGTATTTCCTCTTTTGTGAATCACCTGTTCATATTCTCTACTATATTTCTTTTTTTCCTACCATATTCCTTTCCAGTAGTTTCCTTTGGCTGTTGAGGTATAAGAGTCCTTTATACATGATGCAGGTCTCTTCTTTCAGTCTAACAAATTTTTAACTTAATTTCAGTCATATAAATTTGAAATTTTGAGGTCAAATTTATCAACCTCCCTTTTCCTTTTTGTGTCTTATTTAAGAATGTATTCCCTAACCAAAGTTCGTAAAGATACTCTCCCATTTTCTTCTAATAACTTTGTAGTTTTGCATTTCACCTTTTTTTTAATCCACATGGAATTCATTTTTAGAAATGCCACGAGGGTCCAGCCTGGTGGCATAGCAGTTAAGTGTGTGCTCTCCACTGTGGCGGCCCGGGGTTTGGATCCCAGGCATGCACTGACGCACTGCTTGTCAAGCCGTGCTGTGGCAGCGTCCCATATAAAGTGGACGAAGATGGGCAAGGATGTTAGCCCAGGGCCAGTCTTCCTCAGCAAAAAGAGGAGGATTGGCAGATGTTAGCTCAGGGCTGATCTTCCTCACAAAAAAAAAAAAAGAAAAAGAAATGCCATGAAGTGTCTTATTAATTTTATACTCACTGAGTATCCTTTCATCAACTAGTCTTGACTCCAAATGATTCTGAACCCATTTCAAAGATCAAGTCTATATCAAATGAACGTGGTTTAATATGCCAAAATAAAAGTTTTTTATAGTTAAGTAAGTGGAATTATGGGTGTTTTAGTGACTTTTAAAAAGTATTTTTCTTTAATGTTAAGATTTTACACCACTTAGGATATTGAGGGAGAAATGCCATAGGCTCTGAAGAAAATTTTGAATACAAACTTTCATAAATATTTTGCTGGCGTTTCAGGAAAACAAGCATTAATTTCTGTTTCAGTTAAGTTTATTCAGATAACTTGTGATAGAACTTTAGTTCAAAACTATTGTGAGCAAATAAGTACTCTCTTGGCTCAATAACTAAAAATTGGGGGGGGGAGCGCCACCTTCAGGCATGGCTAGATCCCAGGTTCTGAATAGATAGACAAAAGAGATTCAAACTGCCATACCAGCTTAGAACCCCAAAGGAAGGAAGCAGGCTTTTTTGGTTCCTTAAGCATAAGGGTCCTGGGACAAATTCTGATTAACCCAGCTTGGGTCTCATGTCCATTCCTGACATATCAGTTGTTGCCCAGGGGAGAGGGAACATTGGCCCAGCCTGGGTCATGTGCCACATTGGAATGATGAACAGTTTGACGATGCCCACCTAAGCCACACAGGATGGAATGTAACTGGAAAGAGAGGTTCTGCTATCAGAAGCTGAGGGGTGGGGTGCTGGGCACACAACCACCAGTGTCCAATATCCTCTTCTTTCTCTTTGGAAGAGATGCTGTCTTTTCTTAGGCACTTAGAATCGTGACTGTTTGTTAGTCCATTGCGGTTTATATATAAGATACAGTCAGCCAAACTGGGTGTTACTTTGCAGTCTTGGTTTTTCAGATATGTGTATTGTGCATTTTTAGGTACTGATAAATTTTGTGGTGTTTTAAGCCTTTAAGGAAGTGGGAGGATACCAGGAGCTACTGCATAAGTACGTAGATGCTAAGCCAAGCATAATCCATGAAGGAAACTGGACTGCCAAGCCAGAATGCTACATGCCTCGCTTGGATTCTTTCCATATCTTCCGAGATCCCATCACTGGAGACCTCCCCTGGCCTGGAATTGTCTTTGGTGTCTCCACCCTCTCCTTGTACTACCGGTGCGCCAATCAGGTAATTAGGTACTCTGCAGCTGAAGTGACTGCATTGGGGGCTGGTGGTCGTCGGTGCGTTCCAGGCTCCACCACCGTCTATGCAGTGGCAGGCGAGGGTGGGCCTCTCTGTACTCAGTGGTCAGTTTTCCCTTCCAATCTTTATTGCCTAAATAACTTTATAAGAAATTCTTTTTAAAAGGACTTTCTCCCAGAGTCCCATCTGTAATTCACCAACTGTTTCCTTTTTTTGTTCTTCCCTATCATTATCTAAAAAGCACAGTTTTTTTTAATGTAAAATATCTGTCACTTCTCCCCAGTTGAGTCTTTAAATTAAGTGCAACCAATCAATATTTCAGTTGGATTTTTTAAGGACTCAAACTTATTCTAAAAATTATATGGCTCTCTAACAATGGTAGATCATTACACAAATTGTAAAATATTCATATAGTAAAAAGCCAACATAGAAATAAAAAGGAAGTACAGCTACATGCAATAATAACATGGATGAATCTTCAAAGCATGATGCCGAATAAAAGAAGCTAGACACAGAAGGCTAGGTACTGCCTGATTACATCTGAATAAAGTTTAACACATGCAATGGCAAGTTATGTTGTTTAGTGATACACAATTAGGTGGCAAAAAATTAAAAGAGAAGAAATAAAACAGTCATGAAAGTGTTCATTTTTGGAGCAAGGGAAGGGGTTGAGGTTAAAAAGAGGCGCACACAGCAGTATTATTCACAATTGCCAAAAGGTGGAAACAACCCACATGTCCACCAACAAATAAATGAAGAAACGAAATGTGTATCCATGCGTTGGAATATTATTCAGCCGTAAAAAGGAATGAGGTACTGATACATGCTACAACTTGGATGAATCTCAAAAACATTATGCTATATGAAAGAAGCCAGACACAAAAGGTCACCAATTGTAAAATTCTTTTTATGTGAAATATCCAGAATAGGCAAATCCAGAGAGACAGAAATCCAATTAGTGCTTGTCAGGGGAGGAGGAATGGAGAGTGACTGCTTAATGGATATGGGTATTCTTCTGGAGTGATAAATAGTTTTGAAACTAGAGAGAGGTGGTGATTGCACGACAGTGGGGATGTACTAAATGCTACTGAATTGTTCACTTTAAAATGGTTAATTATATGTTATGCGAATTTCACCTAATTTTTTAAAAACAAGTCAGAGAGAGGCTTCTGGGGTCCCTGCAGCATTTCATCTCTTGATTTGGACGATGGTTACACAATATGCTCTGTAATGTGCTCCAGTGTACTTGTCGTCGTGTGTTATATCACAGTAAAGAAGGTTTAAACATTTTGTAGAAGGAAATGCCACAAATAGCTAACTCAAGTTTGAAAATGAACAACAAAGAGGGAGAACTTGCCTGACCAGATATTTTTGTTTTTTGTTTTTTTTTTTTT